CCCCCCCCCCCAAATTGCTGGTAAGGCAACACGAGAAGGTTCCAGTGTTGCCGTGGCAGTGTCATACGCCACTTGCTCTCCTCTTTCTGGATGGAGCCCAACTGGAAGCACACGGCTCCATCCTGAATAAGTAGCATATAATGGGGAAAGGAGCCTGTCTGATGAGGTAGTAAGCGAGGATAGATAAATTGGCATTCTTTGTGTGTTTTCAAATAGGGAATCCCCAAAAGAACAAAACTGTAAAACCTTAGGTAAAACCATGCCAGTATGTCCCACCCTGGAATTTGAGATCATCTGGGGAGGCCCTGCTCTCGACCCCACCGCTATCACAAGTGAGGTTGGTGGGGACGAGGAGCAGGGCCTTCTCAGTGGTGGCCCCTCACCTGTGGAACTCACTCCCGGGGGAAATTAGGGCATCAACATCCCTCCTCTCCTTCAGGAGGAAGGTAAAGACGTGGTTGTGGGACCAGGCCTTCGGGCAATCTGACAACTAGATATGGACAACCAGATGGATAGGACTGACAGGACTGACAATTGTGGAATTGGAATTTGAACTATGAGATTGGGAAATGCTGACCGTCAATGAGGAAAAATGGTTTGTATTGGTTTTATTGCTTTTACTGGTTTTATGGTTGTTTTCGCCTTGCAAGAATTGTTGTTTCTGTTAATGTTATTTCTAGAATTGCTGTTTTCTGTTCATTGATGTTATTTTGCCTTATTGTTGTTATGTGATGCGGGCATCAAATTGTGCCTTGCTTTTGTAAGCTGCACTGAGTCCCCTTCAGGGTGAGAAGGGCGGGGTAGAAGCAACCGAAATAAATAAATAAATATGTTGCTTCAGTTGTGAGAGAATGGGCCATCTGCAAGGACGTTGCTCAGGGGACACCAGAATGTTTTGATGTTTTACCATCCTTGTGGGAGGCGTCTCTCATGTCCCTGAATGGGGAGCCAGAGTTGACAGATGGAGTTCACCTGCACCCTCCCTGGATTCGAACCTCCAACCTGTCGATTTTCAGTCCTGCCGGCACAAGGGTTCAACCCATTGCACCACTGTGGGCTCCACACCAGTATATTAAGGAGGTTGCCACCTAAAAAGAGCTTGTTATGTCATGGTTTACTCTCTCTATTCCCATAAGCATATTGTTTAAAAGCAATGCTTTTGGTTTTGGAAAGATTAGCCGTTTACAAGAAACGTTGCCTGGGGGATGCCCGACTGTATTTACTCAGTCTTCGAGGAGGCTTTTCCATGTCCCCCATCAGCCCTAGTCTTGTCTTACTCAACTGCTGAGTATGCCTGCCCTGTTTGGCATAAGTCTGCCCATGCAAAGCAGGTGAACAT